TGTCTCAGTTCTGTTAGAGCTCCACCCTTGCCCGCCTCTCCCTTCAGTCCGCCAGCCACTGTCGCCTGGTCCCTTCTGGGTCTCTAATCCTCTCCAGCTACAGAATCCAGGGAGGCTGCCAATGATCTTAGATCTGGCTCAGTTCTGACTCCAGCTCCTGCCCTGCTTGCTCTGTGGCCTCAGACAAGTCACTTCATCTCCCCTGGCCCTGCTTTCCTCGTGTGTAAAGTGGGAATGAGAACCATGCAGCCCTGCCGCATAGCTGGAATCGCTAGGGTATGAACAAAGCACTTGGCACGAGGCCTCGTGTGCAGCTGTCGATGAACGCTGAGACCAGGGCGAGGTTTGGGGCGTTGTTTCCAACCCTTGGCTATGCCTGAGCCTCTTAGGAGCACTGCCTGGGTCCTTCAGGCCTGGGGTTTATCAGATGATCAGCACTGACCTGCAGAGGGACCCCCTTTACTTTTCTCCCCAAACCCCACCTCCCTGGGGAGGAGATGCCTCCCTCCAAGCAGAAGAGTCAGGAAGGGAGCTTCTGCAGCCTCCTCCTCTGCCTTCATTTCTTTGGAGCAGCTAATCTGATTGGCCAGCCACAGCTGGTGCCTGGAGCTGGGTCACTGCTCTCTTACTGTGCAGGGGTGTGGCTTGGCCTCTGTCAGATAATTGTCACAGAAGGTACCTTCAGACTTCCATCCCCTCCCTGCCCCACAGACTTCCAAGGAGGCCAGGTTTTGGGGGTGATTAGATGCTGCTTAGCCACTAATTAAGCCAGGGTTTCTCACCTTCATCACTGTTGATGTTTTAGGTGAAATACTTCTTGCTCACATACTTGCAGGGTGTTGAGCAGCATCCCTGGCCTCTACTCCTTAGCTGTGGGGAGCACCCCACCTCAGCTGGGACAGCCCAAAACGTCCCCAGACATCACCTGGGCGGGGTGGGAGGGGAGGAGTCGCCCTGTGGTTGAGAACTGCAGAGTTAAGCTGGGGCTTTGATCCACTTTTAGCTAGTGAGCCTCGATCCGAACTTGAGAGAGAGAGGGAGGCCTCTATACCCGCAACCCTTGAACGGTGGCCAGTTGGAGGGATTCATCGTTTCTTAAGAGCAAGAAACAAACAAAGCAAGAAACAGTGACAGGGAGAGGCGGAAAGGGAAACGGAGGCAGAAGCGAGCAGCCAGCGGTCCCCACGGCATTCCCAAAAGCAGGGTGCGTCTAGGTGCCGTGCCTGGGCAGCCGCGAGGGCGGCCTGCGCCCGGGGAAACACATTCTGGGGTGGAGGGGTTGGCCGGTAAATATCAGTGGCCCTCTCTCTGCACAGCGGCAACCCAGATGTGGGGAAGAACACGCGGCCCCTTGTACAGAAACCACATCTCTTCCCTCCCTCTGTCTCCCTGCCCAGCCAGCCTCTGCACACGGCCCTGGCTGGTCCTCCCCTGCCCAGACCCTCAGCCCCCGTCACCCATGACCGCCGAGCACGCAGCGCCAGAGCTGGAACCTGGGTGCATGTAGACAGGGTGGGGACGCAAAGGAAATGAAACTCCCCAGCACTGGGCCACTGAAAATAATCATGGCCTTTTCCAAGGCCGGCTTTGCCCGGTGCCAAGGCAAGAACGGCCCTGTCTCGCCACCTTTCAGTTCTTGCTAAAAAGCAGAAGGCATGTCAGGGCCGGGCTGGGCCACAGGACAGAGAGGGCTTTCTTCGCAGCCTCGGGTGAGACTCGGCGCCTCCGTGAAAGCGCTCATTAGCCCCAGCTGGCGTCCCACTTTCCTGAGCTGGAATAAAAAATCGCCTGGGTCATCCTTTCCCAGGCGAGTCTCAAAAGCACGAGGGCCATCATCATAATTGATGACTATTTACTTTGGTCATTAATAGCCGCGCACCCCCTCCTTGCATGTGGGCGAAACGGTTGGAGAATATTTATGGCACGTGGCAGCTGTGTTTGTTTTTCTTTCATTCCACACGTCCCCCAAGTCCCTTCCAGGGTAGCCCCCTGATTTAGTGATACCCAGAGAGTCCGTCTCTGGCTTTCGCGTCCAAACGACTAAGCTATGGTGACTGATGAGAGTTGGCGTGAAAAGGCGGGAGTTCGGAAAGGACTCGAAGAAAGTGTTTTCGGGGGCGGTGCCCTTAAAGGGGTACCCCCTCTAAACGTGCGTTGGAGGTGGGAGGCAAGGGGAGATAGGGAGATGACCTGAGCACCGATGAGATTTTTGTTTCTCCTCTCTGGTGCCTGGAAGGAGGCAGTTACCCAGCATCTGTGGGCTGTTCCTTTGGGAAGGAAATCAGTATTTTCTGTCCAGACAGAGAGCTTGGGAGCCACCTGCATGGGACTGCCCAGGGGTCATTATTTTTCCCAAATATTCAAACTGTGAACGTAGCTCCCACTTTGCCCCAAATCTGGAGACCCCTGGGATGGAACCAGTCCACGGCAGCAGGGACCGAGTCAGCACTCAGAGGGAGGCCCATTTCAGAGGTGGCCGGGGAGACCCTGCTTCGGGCCCTTCCCACAACCTGGAGGAGGGAGCCGGGAGAGCAGAACACGGCGACGAGCCCGGCACAGCTCCAGGGGCACCACTGACCGCTGTGCGGCGTGGTGTGCAGCCGGTGACCCCCCAACCTGGCAGCATCCCCGCCCTTTGTTGGAGATGCTCTAGTACCCTGTTATTAAACTCCCCCTTTTTGCCAAATCCAATTGGAGTTACATATATGCCACTTAAACTAAATGAGATATTATTTAATGACAATAGTTGTTTGCTTTGGGGAAAAAAAGCAAATATTTCTTCCCTACCCCTGGATAGTAGGAGGGGAGAACCCATCTTTCTTTGCTATTAACTCTCATTGACTAGCCATTTAGGGAGTCAGGGCAGCCCCTCAGGGGAGAAGGAGGCAAGTGCGCAGGCAAGTGCGCAACCTGACACCAGCCACAGTCCTGGGTGCCGGCCTTACGGAGCTGGCAGGGGGTTCAGAAGACACGTGAATGCAAACCATTCCTGGGAGGCCTATGGGCCGGCTGCAGGGGGATGGCTGCGAGGCTCCCCCATGGCATCAGTGCCAAAGCAGGTTCAACACTTCCCCGGTGGGTGGGGCTGGGAAGGACGCTGCTCTGGCCAGATGGGGGGGGGGGCGGATGTGGAGAGAGACGCAGGACTGCGTCCAGACCTGGGAAGGAGAACGAACAAGTTTCTCAAGGAAGCTTGGACTCAGAATGCCTGCATTCCCCCCTCTCGAGGCTGTCTGCGTCTCCCTCGCAGAATACAAGGCATCAGTTTCCGGAAGGGACAGTCATTATAGGACTGTTTTAAGGGTGGGGGAGGAAGAACATGGACAGAGCCCTTAGTGAGGGGGCAGAGGGCAGAGATTCAGACAAAGCTGAGGAGTCTCAACCAGTGTTCTACAAAGAGACGTGGGGGGCGCGGTGGCGTTAGCGTGCATTTCGAAACCGGCCTCTTCTGGCTTCACGTCCTGGTTCTGTGGGACTGTAGAGAAACCGAATCAGTTCTGGAGGCCTCGGCTTCCTCAGCAGAAACAGGGATGATAATAGCTAGTTACCCGTAAGTAAGCATCAGCCACGATGATTAACTATTAATTAGGACGTTAGAGCTGCAGTCGCCCAGGAGAACAGTGCTACGCTAGGATGCGACTCACTGGGTTTGTTTCTGTTGTTGTTAGGTGTTTGAGATGGCGTCCGGTTCTGAACATGCATCTTTGCCAGTACAGCTCAGTCCTCTGCTTTCCTCGTCAGGCGAATGTTTTTGGGAACACGTAACATGTGCACTGGATCACAGAGGAGCTCAGACTCGACGGCCCTCTGGGCTCCTCACCACCCAGCCCCACCCTGCCCACCAGTATCTGGCTGCCTTGCTTTTGAGTTTGGCGTTCTTCACACTGTTTTCCCACTGCCCACTGGGTATCTATTGCTGCCTAACAAATTATACCCGAATTTAGTGGCTTAAAACAAGAAGAACATACTACCTTGTACCTTCTGCTAGTCAGGAATTCTGGGCGTCTGGTAAGTGCTTCTCAGTCAGTGGGTAAACAGTGGCTCTAAAAAGCCCTCACAAAACCCTGCTCTGAAAGGCAGGTGACTGCTACATACATGTACCCCCAGACTGCTGTCCTGAACTCCAGAATCTTACCTGGTATGTGTCTTCCCCTTGATCTCCATGGCCTCTAACTAACTTAAACTAAGTTTGCCTGTCTGAACTATGTTCCCTCTCGACTGAGGTGTGACGATCAGAAATGCCTCCTGACATTGTCAAATGCCCCCTGGGGTGGGGGTCGGGGGACAGAACTGCTGCAGGTGGAGAACCGCTGCTGCATCAGGCCGACTCCAGAGCTTCGACACGAACTCTGTTAACTGTACAGGGTATTATGCTGCGGTGTGCAGGCCCCAGGCTGCTGCTGACCCGCCTCTCGGCGCTTTCCTCTCCATGTGACTTTCTTCTAGTGGAGGCTCTGTGTGTGCATAGTTTGCCTGGTTCTGTGGGGCCTGTGGAAACAAACAGCAGCGCCCCTCCCACGTGCCTTCTCCAGGGCCGGCATTTTCGGCTCCTTCAATATTTGCTCCGTCTCTCCATATGTACTCAAATCGGCAGCTCTGGCGTTCCCAGCGCTGGGCCTGACCCCTCGATTTACCCATTAACTGCGGAAGATAAGGGCTCAGCAAACTTCCTTCCCTCCACTTATACCACTTCTCATCTCCCTGGCTTCCTGACATATTTGTGCTGTACTTTTGGCTCGATAAGGGCTCATTGTTTCTTATACGTGTCTCTGAGGCCTTGTGGAGCTGAGGTTAGGAGCCAATCTTTTGTTTTTTCCTGGAGTTAACCATTATTTTTTTGTTGCTGTGGTGACTTAATTTTCTATGCATTTATCATTAATTCAACCCCCGACTCTCAACTTCACCCTCCTGACACAATCTCCGAGCCTCCTACCTGCCCGGTCTGGGCTGGCTGCCCTCTGCCCTGGTGCACACCGGCCAGCCAGGGCCAGCCCTCCACCATGAGCCGGGTGAGTTCCTCGGCTCCTGTTCCTGGGTGTGGTGCTGGGCCAGACACTGTCTGACCCACACTCTGGGCTTTTCCAGAACCTGAGAATGTGACATGCTTTGGAAATAGGCTCACGGTAGATGTAATTAGTTAAGATGAGGTCACAACTTCTGTTTTCACATTTTTAATTTTCAAGAAACAGTTTTTGTTCTGTAAGTGTTCTTTTTAAAAATAGCTTTCTGTTCCCATTTCATGGATGCAGTTTCTTTTCTTATCTTGCAAAGGTTGTCAGTGACAGTTCCTGGAAATTTCCTCCCTGCGTGGCTTCTGTCCCCTCCCGGTCACTCTGATTCGCTTGTGTGGTCCCTGACACTCTTGCAGAGGCTTTGTGGTCCTCTGAATGGGGGAACTTCTGGATTGTGGGTTTTATTGTGGGGTGCTGTGCTGTGCCAGCTTTTGAGGGGGGCCTGTCTCAGTGTCTCGGGCCTCTTCGCTGGAGTCAGTCACACACAGCAGAGGGGAGTCTCCTGGCCTCCGTCTGGAGGGGACAGGCTGGCTGGCCGGCCGCCAGCACTGTGGGTCTTAGTAGGGGAAGGGGGATGGAAAGCGGACAGGTCTTCCATCACTGAACCCCCCTCTTTCTCATAGGGTCCCCTGGCTCTCAAGCCCCATCACCTGGATCTGGTGGCACCCAGTCCTGAGTCCCTGATGTTTACCCTCCATGGAAAGCAAATAGTCAGTCTTCTCCCGGGTGGGGGAGGGGCTCCAGGCATCTGACTAAGGGACAGATTTCAACCAAACTCCATGATTCTTTGTTCTCCTTCCCCACAGCCTTGCTCGGTCCCAGAAGTGCCAAGCCGCGGGGCCTGGAGTTCTCCAAGCGCTCTCTGTGCTCAGCATTAATCCAGGTGCTCCAGGGTTTTCTTGCTGTGAGCTTTCCAAAGCACGGAACTCAGCTGTCAGGGCTGCTCATTTGCTATTTATCCAAAAATTTCCTGGCTCCCAAAGTCTTATTACTTTCACCTCTCTCATTTTTTCTTGTCTGCTTAGGTCTTTTAAAAAAATCTCTTCAGGATAGTTTGAGTGAGGCTCCACAAGGGACCGCGAGCAGATGCATTCGGTCCGAGCTCTTTGCTCAGGAGGTGCTAGTGTGCACTTCCGGCCTTACTTGTTCGGAAGGGAGGCTGAGTATGTGTCTCGGGTCTCTCTCAGTGCACCTTCCTCGGAGTTACTTGGCCCCATATGCTGTTTTGGAGCAATGAGTTGCTATCCAACAAAAAAATAACATATACTTACTTACACGATATCTCCCTATGCGGTCAAAGGAATCACGTTTCCACCAGATGCTTTTCTCAGCACTCGGCCACTTCTTTCTGCCTCCTTTGCACCTGATCTTGAGCCCGCTGCACAGGCGGTTCTGGGGGGAAATCAAGACGGCGGAGTTGGGTGGGGGAAGTTTGGTGATGTGTTGGTTTGTGACATGCGAGGTTGGAAGACACCTTGGGACTTGTTTTCTTGAGGGTGGTCAAGAAAAGCTGCTTTGATGAGTTGGTGCGAGAGCACAGAACATGGTAGGGAACGGACTGAGGCCTGTAGACGTCCAGGGGAGGGGGAGTTTCCAGGAGACGGAACCACAGGGCCATGGGTCTAGGAGGGAAAGCGGGAGGTAGTGAGTGTGGAGAGACATGAACGAGAGGGAGCGCCGCGGTGGGGGCGGGGACCAGCTCTGGCCTGGGGATGGAATGTTGACATTTTCTCTGGGCATGGCGGGAGCCTTGAGTAGCATTCCGTGTCTGGCATGAGCTGCTCTGGCCGCAGGAAGAGAAGACAGTTGTGGGCAAGGGCAGGAGCAGAGAGCCCAGAGAGGAGGGTGCCGAGGTTCCCTGTCGTAGGGGGTGTAGCCCTGGGCCAGGGAGCAGTGGAGGCTGTGAGACAGAGCTGGATTCTGGGTATACCTACTGGTGAAGCTAAAAGGATTAGCAGGTGAGTTGGACATGAAATGTGCAGGAAAGAGAGGAGGACAGGAAAACTAAAATGTTTGACTTCAGCCCCTAGAAGGATAGAATTGCCAGGTGTTGGGACTGGCAGGACCGGGGAAAGGCGGGTTTGGGAGGGAGGAACAATTTTGGCTTATGCCAGTTTGAATTGCCTGCTTGATGCCCAGGTGGCAGTGCTGAGCGGGCAGTTAGCTGGAGGTTGTAGAGCTGCGTAAAGCGCCCAGTGTGTCTGGAGCTGTTCTAGTGCGCCGCCGCCTGTGCACTGCTTGTGCACCGCCCCCAAGCCTGTGCGCCGCCCCCGAGCCTGTGCGTCGCCCCCAAGTCTGTGCGTCACCGCCTTCTATGCCTCACGGCCTTATATATGCAGCAGCCTTCTGAGAGCAGCCTCCAAGTCTGTGCCGCCGCCGCCTGTGCTCACTGACTTCTGTGCGCCGCCACCGCCTGTGCGCCGCCACCTGTGTGCCACCACCAGCTCGGTGCACCACCGCTGCCCCTTTGTGACACTGCCTTGTGTGCGCCACCGTCAACTCTGTGCGCCGCCGCCGATTCTGTGCGCCGCCAAACACTCTGCGCCAGCACCGCCTGTGCACCGCCACCAACTCTCTTTGCCGCCGCCTCCGCTGCTTGTGCGCCGCCACCACCAAGTCTATTGCCGCCACCTCTGCCGCCTGTGCGCTGCTACAAACTCTATTTGCCGCCACCTCCGCCGCCTGTGCGCCGCCACCAACTCGGTTCACTGCCGCCTCTGCCACGCCAACTCTGTTCACCGCCGCCTTCGCCGCCCGTGTGCCGCCGCCGACTCTATGCGCCGCCGCCAATTCTGTGTGCCGCCGCGAACTCTGTGTGCCGCCGCCAATTCTGTGCGCCAGCACCGCTTGTGTACCGACACCAATTCTATTTGCCACCGCCTCCGCCGCCTGTGCGCATCCACCAACTCTGTTCACCGCTACCTCCGCCGTCTGTGCGCCGCCACCAACTCTATTCACCGCCGCCTCCGCCGCCTGTGCGACGCCACCAACTCTGTTCACCGCCGCCTTCGCCGCCTGTGTGCTGCCGCCAACTCTGTGCGCCGCCGCCAGTTCTGTACGCCACCGCGAACTTTGTGCGCCGCCGCCAATTCTGTGCGCCAGCACCGCCTGTGTACCGATACCAGCTATGTTTGCCGCCGCCTCCGTCGCCTGTATGCCACCACCAATTCTGTGCTCCGCCGCCCACTCTGTGCTCCACCGCCCACTCTGTGCGCCGCCGCCAACTCTGTGCGCCGCCACCAACTCTGTTTGTCGCCACCTCCGCCGCCTGTGCGCAGCCACCAACTCTGTGCACCAGCGCCGCCTGTTTGCCGCCACCAACTCTGTGTGCCGCCTTTGCCGCTTGAGCGCCACCAATGCCTGAGCACCACTGCGTTCTGCTCAACCTCCGCCTTGAGCGCCACAACCTTCTGTGCGCGGCCTTCACCTGAGCGCCACTGCCGCCTGGGCACCTTACAGAGACCAGCCCAGCCCGTCTCCACTGCAGCCGATGAGGGCTTAGCCTCCCTCCACGTGGACGGAAGAGCAGAGGCACGGAGAGTTCAGTAACTTGCTCGCCGCCACTCTGTGAATAAAGGTTGGAGCTGGTCCACACCTGAGCCACCTGGCCCCGGAGCCTGCCCTGTACACACCACGCTGCCTTGGGGTTGATGGGGAAGCAGGAACTGGAGGGCCCAGGTGCCCAGCTCTCAGGCTTGGGGCGGAGCAGGCAGCGGACTCACACAGGCGTTCAAGTGAGGCTTAGGGGCCCAGTCTGGTCTGGGTTCAACAGTCTGTCACTTACCACCCTGAGGGACTTACTTGCCCTTCTCATCCTTGGTCTTCTCTCAAATGGAGACGACAGGGGCGCCCACCTCTCAGGGTTGTTGGGGGTGAAATGCCCGGTAAGTGTCCTCTGTTGTTACCACTATGGGTGTTAATGGGCAAAGGCCGCAGTGCCTCCTCCTCAGACTCCCACCCTCCCTGAGGCCCCTGCAGGCTCTGCGTTGGGTGCTGGGAGGGTGAAGGCGGCCTGGGTTGTGACACCAGAGCAGAGCTGACAGCCTCCTTGGGAATGGGAATGGCTCTCTCTTTCCAAAGGCAGGAGTGGGTCAGGGCGTTACCCACCTCCCACGATGTTAGGGAGACTTCGTGGCCACCCAAACCACAATTCTTCTGGTCCGGTGGTGTGTGTCTCAGCTCCCGTTATCCAGGATCACAGGGATCAGGGCTCCAGCGCTTAAGGGTCATCCAGGCTGGAGGTCACACTCTCAAGGAAGCCTACTGCTCCCTAAGGCCAACTTGACCTTCCCCTTGGAGGATGCTGGGAAGTAGCTGTAATCAGCCCGTCTCGCCACCCAGCACGCCAATGGCCTTGGAATGTTTCCTTAGTCAAGGCCAGTCTCTGACTTACAGGAATGAAGAGTCCCCTTTAATTCCCCGGCCCAGAAGGATCCCAAATGCATTTAGAACAACTGAAGACTCTCAGTTCATAGGGACACTTTAAAAAGCAACCAATAATTACAGTTTGGGAGCCGCGAAATAGCCCAGAGAGACCAAGGCCTGTTCGTATGAGACCAAAGAAGGAATTTTGTTTACCAACTTTTCATTTACGCTTCACCTCCTTCCAAAAAGAATCTGAGGTGGGCGACGGGAGAAAGCAAACAAGAATCCCGGCTCCGAGATGCGATCCCTGGTCCTCAGATGGGTGCCCTAGCGTGAGCCCAGGCAGGGAGCAGCTGCTGTGTGCAGAATACTCACCGAGAGAGAGACATTCCCAGTGCTGCTTTTCCGGCATCTCCAAGGAATGGAATTTCCCCCCAAATGTTGCCATGTTTAACTTACTGATTCCTTTCTGTTCTATGCACTGAAAGTCTACCATTAGAATTCTTTGTTTTTTAAAAAATATTTTATTTGCTTTTAGAGAGAGGGGGAGGGAGATAGGGAGAGAAACAGCAATGTGTGAGAGAGAGATCCATCAGCTGCCTCTTGCGTGGCCCCAACCGGGGTCCTGGCTCCAAACCCAGGCATGTGCCCTGACTGGGAATCGAATCAGCGACTTTTTGGTTTGCAGGCTGGCACTCACCCCACTGAGCCACACCAGCCAGGGCCCATTAGAATTCTTACTGCAAATTTTCTGGGGAAGTGACAGGAATATAAATGTATCAGTTTATCAGGTGGCTCCCTCTGTAGCCCCAGACTCCTGGTCTAGGAGTTTGGGGCAGAAGAGTTAAGAGTCTAGACCCCTGGCATTACTGGGGGAAAGTCATGGTGGCCTGGGGCGCGGAGGTGGTGGCCTGAGTGTCCAGGGGTCCAGGGCTGAGAGTGGGGGCCATGTGGTGACTGGAGAAGGTGGACAACTGTGTGAGAAAACGCTAACATTTGTCGCCATCTGTTTACGTGCAGCCTTTTACATGTCTGCTCTGCGGCGGCCCGTGAGGTCAGCATCGTTCTGACTTCACTGAGGGTGACACGAGGCTCCGAGAGGAGCGGCGACACAGGCAGCGAGTCCTGGCTTCTCCACACTGAGCCGGCACCCACCGAACCCGCATCGTGGAAGCGCCAGCTTCTCGGAGCTGCTGGAAGTCTAGGCCTGGGGGCGCGGCAGGGTTCTCTTTGTCCAGCCTCCCCCTCTGAGGGACAAGGACGCAATAGCCGCAAGGCCCCAGGTGCTGTGAGTGCTGGGTGACAGTGTGCACGTGCCCCGAGACCAGACTCCAAAGCCCAGGTCCTGCCGCCTGCTCACGACCACGAACTCGGACGGCTGGACGGCAGCCAGGACTCGCCCGACACGACAGAGCTCCCGACCGTTCCCAGCCCGCAACCGTTTTCAAAGATGGAAAATTCCAGCTGCCACACCTGCTGGAAGCGGAGTCTGTTTTGCACTGGAAGCCAATGTGTTTACCATACCTGACCTTGGTCTGCCTCGGAGGAGACGGAAGGCTCTGGAGACGTGCAGCCCAGGCCCGGCCGCAGCCAGCCCTCGGCGGGGCCCTCGTGCTTCCTGGTGTCAAGTGTTCCCAGGCACAAGTGGCCTGGGCTCTGGAAATATTTTTGACACAGTCTGCTTTTTGTTGTTTATGGGATTGGATTTTCTTGGTAAACATCAGCGTGGATTCCACGGCAAACACAGAGTTCCCTGTACCATTCGCAGGTAAATTAAAACGAACTTCACTTTTACTAGTGTCCTGTTGAGAAACCCTGCCCAGTGTAGGCAGTTGGGGGTCTCAGAAGTCAACTTGTTTAATGTCCGCTGTGACATATTAGATGCAGTTAAACCAAAGGCATGTGCCTGGTTCTCATGGGGGGAGGGGCGGTACGGCAGCACAATATAGTGTTCAGGGCAGCGTGACCAGTGGGCACAGGATGGTAGTCGAGAGCTGCCTGTGTTTGAGCATCTTCCCTGTGCTGGGCACTGTTCTCCCTGCAAGTTATCACTGAGTGGGAGTTGGTTAGACTGCCTGGGTTTTACTCCCAGCTTTGCCGTTATCCAGCTGTGTGACCTAGACCATGTCTTTACCCTCCCTGTGCCTCCACTTTCCTCATCTGTGAAATGGGGACGCGAGCAGGCCCAGCCTCAAGGCCAGGCAGTGACGGTGAAGGGAGATGAGCCCAGGAGGCGGCCCCTGGTCCGCACTCAGTGCCCGGGAGTGGCTCTCACCCGCTGACTAACGTGGGTGCGCGCGCAGGTTCTTCCACTCCTTTGTGAATGTGTGCCACGGGCCCAGAGGCACACGGCAAGCTTGTGGTGCCGCCGGGCTTGAACTCAGACCTTCCTACCTGGGTGACTCACCCCAGGGAAGAAGCAGGGAGGCCTGACTTCAGGCAGCAGGTGGTGGTGGGGGGAGGTGGCTTTGAGTGGCAGGGCCACCGGTGTGTTGTCCCTCCTGGGGTTGGTGTGGAGATTCTCTTTCCCTAAGGGAACGAGAAGAACCTTATCGTTACCAAGAAGTTGTTGGCCCGAGAGGAATTCCACTTTAGGACACAAGTGTGTCTGTGGTTAGGAGACTGCGTGTTCCCCTCTGGTCTGAAGCTCGAGGCCCTGGCAGAGCCTGCGACACCGCCGGTCTCCCCCCTTCTGGACCCCACGGTCCCTTCTTCTCGGACACACGTGGTAGAGTCCCCTTCACCATCCTGAAATGAAATGAAATGTATCTAAACACATACTGCTTGACCCCCAGTTAATGTCACAGCCTGTTCGTACTGGAAAAGTGATTTCTGGTAAAACTCACGTGCGCCGATGCTCAGGCCACACCGGGCAGGGGATGTGTTTGAAGGGGTCACATACTGGCTCCAAGCTCTGAGTAAGTGTAAGAGAAGTAAGACAATAACCAATTGAAGAGTGTTGAAACATCCTTTATAGTCAATAGTTTGAAATGTGTCAGCTAAGTATGCATGTCCGTTTACAACATACAGTCATCTAGAAACAGAGGCCAACGCAGGCGTGCCCCCCAGGTTACCCCGAGCAGCTTTGCTGTCGCATTTTTTTCTGAAATGATGACTCAAATCTTGGTAAAGTTCCAAGTAAAACAAAGTATAATCTTTTCCAAATTGACACAGGAGTTACATTCTGGGAAACTCAGTGTATGTTAAACTGCGTAAAAATACTTTGTGTTTATGTGTAAATCGGAGCTGGGCTGTAGGTCAGGTCTTAGAAATAGGTTTTTCACCTACATAGATGTCTGATGGATCATTCAGAAGGTGTGCGGGATTATAAATCAAAATGTGAGAGGTCAGACTATAAAACTTCTAGAGGGAAATAAAGGGGTAGGCAAAGGCTACCTAGGACCCAAAGTTACTAACCTTAAAGGTAATGTTGAATTTTACTATCTGTGAAGTCCTGTAAGATTCTGTTACAAAATCCGTAAGATTCTATTTCACCAAATGACACTTTTGGAGGACAAAAATATAAGTCACAGAATGAGAGAATACATTTGCAATTCAAAAACTCATCCAAGAAGTAATTTCTACACTGTATAAAGAGCAGTGAATTCATAGGAGAAAGGGCAGAAACAACTCAGCAGGAAAATGGACAGAAGACTTGAGTGGACAGTTCACAGAAGAGGCTACCAATGGCCCATGACCACAATGTGACGCCACGTTACACCCTTCAGAGTGGCTAACCAGCGACAGACAATGCTAAGTGTTGGTGAGGAAGTGGGGCAACATGAACTCTCAGTGTGTGGGTGGGAATGTTAGTTGCTACAACTTTGGAAAACTTAGGCAGTCACTGAGGCTGCACATGCACCTGCCCCGGGACCTAGCCATTCACTGTCAGGTGTATGCCCAGCAGAAATGTGTGCACCTGTGAATCAAGAGCGTGGTGGGGTAATGTTCACTCAAATGGGTGCCCCAACATTCATTCCTATAGCTCCAAACTGGGAACAACCCAGATGCCCATCGAGAACTATACGCTGCAACATGGAGAAATTCACAAACAGGATGGTGAGGGCAAGAAGCCAGAGTCAAAAGAGTTACATGGCATGATGCCACTTCTATTTCTAGGAGGTTCCAAAAAAACCCATTCCTGGGGTTAGAAGTCGGGTGGTGGCTATTCCCATTGGGTGGCAGTGACCACAAGGGGCCTAAGGGGGCTTCGGGGCCTCTGGTCGTCCTCAGGTTCGGGTCTGGGTGCTGGTTACAGGGCTGTGCTCATTTTGCGAAAATTCATGGGCTCTTAGGATGTGTGCTTTTCTGTGTGCATGCCGTAGCTCAATAAGTTTGTAGCAGATATGTAAATAGAATAAAATTAGCCCTTATCCACTGAATGCCGTTGGCTCCCTGCTCACCGACACGGCCAAAAATGTCCTCAGAGGTCCCCCTGTGAGAGCTACCAGCCCCAAACAGAAGGGGTTAAGACAAAGAAATAGGGAAACTCCCTCCGTAGGAAAGGAACGGGTGGAGGGGTTGATTGGCTCCAGCCCAGGAGGAAATGGCAGGAAGTATGTGCGGAGGAAGTCCAGAGACAAGGGAGGGATGGGGGCCGCATCTGGTGACACACGCACCTGTGTCCCACACAAGTGTCCCGGGCAACCAGCTTCCTGAAGGCCTTCCGGAGCCCTTTCCTGAGACCCCTGGGACCCTCGGATGCAGGGGGATAGCCTCACCAGAGAATTAAGTCTCCTAGTCTAACCACAGCAAAACCGTGTGTGTTTGGTGGTGGGGATGTGAAGCTGATGACTTTCCTCTGTGAGGCTGAGACCTTCTGGAGCCTTAGGAATGTCCGTCACCTGGCTGCTTCTGTTGGCTGATCTCAAGGACAGCCTTCCCATTGTAAGGCCCCAGGCACCTGGGTCAGATCCCAGCCCCAGTGCTGGGCAAGTGTGAGAAATCCACACTTCACAGCCCTGAGCCCCTGACCCGTCCGTTGCCCCTCCTCCCCAGCCCACAGGCCCCTTATTTCACCTGAGACCATTCATGTGCCTGTCGCAGCCCCCAGCAGTGTTCCGGGTGCCGCCGTCACCCTGTCTGCTCGTGCAGGGCCCAGGCTGGGGCACAAAGCGGGTGCCCAGACCACGTGTCTCAACAGTTAAAAGAGTTCTAATCAAGCCAAGTGAGTGTTAAAAGCACAACGAGCTCCGAGGGCCTTCCTCGACAACGTTGCCTTCCAACGACCTGGAAGGATGCTTCAGATTCAGAGTCATGCTTCTGGAAGCTCCCTGCAACGATAGCCCCTCCTCTTCTCACCCCTGCCCCATCACACACTGCTGGGGTTCCGTGCATAACTGGGACCCCCAAGCCCTGCCATTGCCTTCTGCCAGCAGGACGAGGCTGCACACTGGGGCGTGTCCCACCCAGGAGTCACTGGAAATGGGCTTGAGCTTTTTAGGGGTCTGGGATCAGCCCTGCCCAAAACCCTGGTCCCTCTACCTTTGGGGTTGATTTGGGCTCCTTGCCCATTCAGCCTCTGCACTTCATGTATCTGGGAGGTGAAGGGGCAGAATTAGGCCACAGACAGACACGCTTCCTGAGGCAGCCCCCCACACCAGGGCCGACTGCAGTTGCGTGGCTGCCCTGCCCACGTGCATCCCTTCTGCACACGTCCTTCCCCTCCATCCCACAGGCCCACGGGCCTGTCCTTCCTGCTTGGGGTCAGGTGCCGTGGCTTCTGAACTTGGGCCACAGAGGGTGCAGGCCATTCGCAGAATGCATGGGACGGGGCCATGTCCAGATCAAGCAGTGACACTTGAATTAGCTGCAGCTCAGTAGGCCTCGGGGGAGTGGGAGGGCCCCAGTCCCCACAGAGGCACGCAGACAGGGGCTGGGGGTCAGCTCGCCTAGCACCTGGGCGGCCTGACGTGTGGCTCTTCATTTCTAAGAACTGTTTGTTTTCCTTTCATGGTCCTTCTTCGCAGGCTTATCTAGGGGACTGAAACCCGGCACCCTGAGGAGCTTCTGGCCTGAAGGCCCCCATCCCCTTCCCCCAGGTCTTTAGCATTAGGTCTTCCTGTTCTTTCTGTGTTTAATTATTAATAAGTCTAGTGTACTGAGCAGCACTTGCTAGGCACTCCTCTAAGCCCTCGATGTGTGTCGATTGTTTGAACACTTGGCATGACTCTGTCCCAGTCTGCCTTGATGTGCGCGGGGCAGTTTGCAGAGGGTGGGCAGCAGGTCAGCTGTTGCCTGAGAAGGCGCCAAAGTGTGCAGTCTCGGCCCAGCCGCCTGCAGGCCTCATGACCTTCAGATGACTTTGCGGCGCACTGAGGTTTTCTTGGCTTCTTTCCCCCATAGGTTCAGCTGCACTTTATGATTAATAATAATAATCGCTAACACTTGGCTCTTACTGTGTACCAGTCCTTGGCTAAGCGCTCTCATGCAGACTGTCTCTCTTATTTCCAGAGCATTCTATGAGGCTGTTACTCATAGTCCCATTTTACAAACAAGGAAACTGAGGCACGGAAAGACTCAGTGACTGTTTGAGGCCACCTGGGCTTGAACTGTACGTTTCCACGGTGGTTATAATGCGAACAGATGTGGCAACATATTGTATAATTTAAAAAAAAAATCTATTCCCAGAAAATCTTGCAACCTCAAAAGTTTTTCTTAAATGTGACCAGAAATGTGATGGATGAGAGTTGCTACCCATTCTCAGGGTACGTGCCTAATCTCGGCTTTTCTGTAGGTCTGTCTGGGTGTCAGAGCAGACACAGCAGGTGACAGGCAGTGCGAGTCCCCAGGGC